TGCTCTGTTCGGTTGTCGCTCCCAGAAAAATGGTTTAGTTCGCCTTTCGCTGTCAAGGAGGAGAAAATCTGAAAGTGACTTCCTGTTAGGGTTGTATTTATTGAATTGGCTGCTGGCTATTTTTATAAAAAAAAAAAAAAAAAAAAAAATAGAACTCCCTGTGTCTCCATGTTGTCATCTTATTACTTTTCAGAAGGCCAACATTTCCGTGTTTAAAAACCTTTTTGGTTTGGTGAAATATTCAAATTTTGTGAAATGCTGGAATTTTTGTGTGTGTGTCACTCTGCCATAATCTTCAACACTGAAACAAATAAAGCCTTGAAATATTTAACTTTGTGTGTAGTCAACTAACATATGCACACAAATGTCACTTTTTTAAAACAAACTATCGAAATTAATGGACTTTCTTTGATATTCTATTTTTTTTGGGGGGGGGGGCACCTACCTGTACTTAGTAGTGAACGTTTTTACATAATTGATGGGTAGGCTGGCATTTAAGAGACCCTTGTATCCAATCAATTCAAGTCAATTTACCATAAACTGCCAGTCAGTCCAGATTTGACTACTTCCGTTTAGTATTATTGTGTTGGAGTGTACTGAAATAAAGTAAGCTAATTAAAAAAAAAAAGAAAAGAAAAAAAAACTAGACATACTATCCCCCCATCCTCTAGCAAAAAAAAAAAACAACAAAAAAAAACACATAGACACAATGATATTAGAGACCCTTGTAATCGTCAGACATTGGTCAACACCAAAACAAATCATATAATAAACAATTCAGGTTTGTATGAACGGTCCTCACCAGTTTTGACTGCAATATAAAGAATATCTCCATGGCTTTCATTTGTGTGGAGTTTAACAGTGACATTGTAGAGCACCCCCGGCTGCAGTTCCCTCAGTTCCGTCGTGGTCTGTTCAGTTGTCCACATACTAATAACCTCTGAGCCCTCACTAAGAACCACCAAGTAACTCTGGTTGGCTGAGATTAAGCTGGACCAGTACACACAAAAAGAAGTGCCAGTGATGTTGGCAGCCTGTAATCTGCTGATGCTGGGGGAAGCTGGAAAAGGGCAGAGAGTGAAAGAGAGCACAATTAAGACTCCTAAACCAGAGAATTGACAGAATGAGATAATAATATCTTTCATACACATCGAAGTTGTTGTCAGAGTCAGAGGCAGCCCATCGGTTGAGAAAGTAGGTCCGTACGTTGTACTTTGAAAGACGATGCTTGCGTTCAAAGGAGACATAGTCATGTTTTCAGCTAATTCGTTGAAGCTAACCACGGTGCTGTTGCGTTCAGTCTGAGGTGAGGTTATATTGATTGGGAAAGGGCAACATTGTGGGGCCTCTGTAGTGGCAGGCATGGGGATGGCATTTGGCACTAAAAAACAAGAATATAGTGAGTGATGAAGAATTACAACAATTAATGTAGACAAGAGGACAGTATGCAGTTATATACAGTATACAGTACCATACCATGCGAAAGTGATGCCACCTGACCATTTTCAAAATAATTTTGATTTTTTTTTATGACTAGCAGCAGCTCACCAGTAAGGACTTATGATGCCACAAATTCTAAATTTATTTCCACAAACCAGTGTTGGTGCATGAGCAACAACAACTTTAAATTCTTTTGCCAGTTTCCACAGTTTTGAGAAACATTGCTTTAACTAAAAAGTTGTTTCACTAAAAGTGTAGTCCGTAATAACCACGGTCATGCTAACCTGCACAATGAGTTCCGGGATTGCTGGGGTCAACATCAATATATCCTGCATGGCAGACGCACTGGTAGGAGCCCACCGTGTTGTTACATTGTGCCAGTGGAGAGCACTGATGGAGAGCAGGATGTGCACACTCATTTACATCTACAAAGATGAAGAGACAGACATGAAAGGGTAATACTGACAATTACAATCACATTGAAAGACACTGCGACCCGCAATATAGCTAAGACCAAAATTATTCACGCCCTAGCTAAATTTTATTTATTTGTTTTATTTTTGCCACCTTATCACAGGACACATTGAGACAACCATTCACAGGCACAGTTTATTGACAGTTTAGAACAGAGGTCGGCAACCTGCGGCTCAAGAGCCCAATGCGGCTCTTTAGCGCCACCCTAGTGGCTCCCTGCAGCGTTTTCAAAAATGTTTGAAAATTGAAAAAGATCGGGGACGGAAATATATTTTTTGTTTTAATGTGGTTTCTGTAAGAGGACAACAGACATGACACAAACATTCGTAACGTTTTCCTGTAAAAAATGTATAGAACACATATTAAATTTCAACATTTCTGTCAACGAGTATTTGCGTCATAGCCTGCGACACACGTTTCTATTAGCAGGGCAGGATGTAAGTCAGGAGGCTGTTGTAAAAAAATAAAATAAAATAAAACAGCGTCTCAGGTACAATTCACCGAGGGTGCTGGCAAAAAAATGGGAATCTGGAGGTCCGATCGAAGCATTTTTAAACAGTACACGTGAGCTACGAACGTTAACATGCTGCAAAAGTGTGTCCCATGCCTCGTTCATTTTAGGGGCCGTTATGGCTGTTGCTCATTATCGCATGCGTGTGTACGTGCGTGCGAATGCGCTCGGGTGTGCTAACGGGTCGATCGCGGGAGGTTGGTTGTCCGAAAAGTAGATCTTCGGTCAAAAAAGGTTGGGCACCCCTGCTCTCCAATTACACTGCAGGGGGAAAAAATATTTTAATCAAGAAGGCTCATTGTGTATTTGTAGCCAATTTAGTCATTTTGATAGTAGGCTAATATAGCTAATATCGATACATACAGCATGTGTTGCCTTCATTATAAGGCTTACATAAGGCTTTTATTTTTTTGCAACTCATAGATGTTTGTTTTTGGGCGGTTTTCCAATATGGCTCTTTCAACATTTTGGGTTGCCGACCCCTGGTTTAGAATCTTCACTTAACCCAACACCACCTGTACACATTTTGGAGCATGTTAGAGGAAACACAATCATTATTTTATAGACAAAAATGTCTAAATAACAAAGTCCTTCTATACTCTTTGAAACAGAAGCAAATGAATCGTCACCAAAATAACTTGATTTCCATTCTGGTATGTGTTTGTTGAGGTGGCTACTACTGCATTCATAATACGTATGGCTGTCTGACTTGTGAGCAATCTGTGTATGTGGGGGAGGGGGAATATGTGTGACTAACTCGGGTGTTATTTTCTGCCATCGCAGGAAACATCGCACAGAAGACGGTCGCTCGAATAGAAGCGGTGGGAGAAGGAAGCTGTGGTGCGACTGAGTCATTCTTTCCTGACCGCTATGTTCTGTACAAGTATCACACGCTACAAGAATGTCGCTTCTATGAAGGAACACAAGTCAAGTCATGAGTGGCCTTGCCTCTGCTTGTCCTCCTCACCTTCCACTGTCACGTCTGATACCTCCTGTACGTGTTTGAGAAGGAAATGCAGCTTTGATTTGATGTCGTGCAGTGAAAGAACAAAGCTGCATTCGAGCAGCAGCGACGTGCCAGTTCTGTACGGATGCACAGGCCTTGAGGCGAGGTAATAGAGTGAAAAATTAACAGACGCCAGCGCTCCGGTTACCTGTATGAAAATAAAGGAGCGAATGGAATATTAATCTTCGTACAATACAGGTTCGGAATGTCAGCTTTGTGGTACCATTGCTTGAAGTAATCTTGTATGGTTGAGAAGAGCTCCGTTGTTCATCAATTGTTGGTAATCTGTCTTCACCGTCACTGTCACATTGAAATGGTAGCCCCCATACTCAGTATAATTAGCTGATCCTGATAATTAAAGAACATTGTTGCCATCTTGAATAATTCAAATGGTACAAATAATAAAAAGCACAAAATAAGTTCACCATTTTATAGATTTGGCATCATAAAAAAAATCATGATCATGAATTATGATCATTGTGTAAAGTGACATTCCTTGTTTTTTTTCATTTCAAGAAATAGACGCATAAATTCATTCTAAAAACAGACTTGCATTCATGAGCCCCGACCTCCATCAAGCTTGTAACGTTAACAAAAGTGGAGGAAATGACATTTGCGGTGTGCGGTATTGTACACGTTTCTTTGATCACGTCGCTGCGAGGTGCAGGTTCGGGCAGTGTTTCCTAAGATTTAGTGAACCAAAGCACTCAACAAACTCAACACATCACCCAAGAAATATCACTAAAACAATATTGTACTGGAATAATGACAATCTTGTCTCAATTTACTCACAAATGGACTTGTGCAGTGTGAATTGTTGAACACAAAGCTGATTGGTAGACTGCAAATTTCCCCAGTGTGGGACAAATAAAGGTTATCTTATCTTATCTTATATGCTCGCAGAATGCCATGATTGATTCTGTTGTATGAATGGCAACAGGTGAATACTATAAATAGTTTTATTGAAACTTCCGTCATCTAATCCAAGCTCATCTATGGAAGGGAATTTCACTATTCGGCTTTGAGCTATATGTCACTGGCGTCAAAAGATTTCCAATGATAGATTTCGGACAAACAAAGTGAAATTGGATGATTTCCCACAGCAGCCTTTTGATCTCTTGTGGCACACTAGGGTTGCCATGGGATCCTGGTTTAGAATTACACACGCACACACACACACACACACACGCACACACACACACACACACACACACACACACACACACACACACACACACACACACACACACACACACACCTCCACACACGCCACATCCTCATTTTAGCCTCATATGTGATGTTTTTCATTTGTGCCTTTGGCACAACTTAACCTTTTAATTATCCAAGATAACACTTTGTCCGTTTGGTAAATATTCACTCTTCTTTCCCAGTTTAGGAGGAGAGGAGATATTGATCAACAGTTGCTCACAAGACCAACACGTTCCATTTTTGTCATAAACACAATTATGGGAAGTCTTCCTTAAAAGTTTTTGCTGTGGAAACCAATGCGATGACAAGGACAACACCAGGGATGACAAAAATACTGGACACTCTGTTCTAAAGTACTGTCGTCGTATATTTGCAGTACCTGTGTAAAAAGTAATGAAAAGTAGAATTAGGCTACTGATTCAACTCTTAAAAAAAAAAAAGTTGTCAGAAATGTAAGTGAAACGTCCAAACATTTTTACTCTACAATACTTTTGATGACTTGCACATTTTTGAAGGAAAAAAAACAAGGATACTAACTTACTGGACAATACTTTTGATAACTTTCTTATCTTGAGAACAACAATTTGATAATAAAGTTGTATCCAATCTAATCTAATTTGCACATTTTTGAAGAAAAAAAAAGGATACGAAAGGATACTAACTTGTAATGTTACTGCAGAGAAAATGATCTGATCTCTCACAGCACTTTTGCCAGTTTGGACAATCTATGTCCCAGTCGCAGTCATTAACACTGGAATTAGATCTGTCCGTTGTTGTGCACGATCCAGGTTTGGTCATAAATTCCTCACTCCGGTTTAAAGCTCCATGAAAAGAAAAATCACAAATCACATAGTATTAGCATCAGGATATTTATAGCAGTGAAGTGCTGTTGTTGTATGCAAGATGTAGACACCAAAAAAACACCAAAAGGCCAATTTGGCCAATTTGCACACTTACACAGGGCACAGTAGCTTCCCACTTGTATATAACCATGGCAACATCTGGTCACCTGCTCCGTCAGCATCCTGTACTCATTCTGATGAACTATTCTGAAAAGTGTCACTGGACATGCCGTCCAAAAGAGCCAGCCACCACAACTCTTGGTCACAGTATACGGAAGCCTTCGTAACACCAGGGAACTCACAATGCGGGTCTCGTTGTAAATACACAGATGGTATCCAGATGCAGATAGGGTTTGTCCTATCAAATAAAGTACATCTTCCTTAATCATGACATTTGTTGGTTGATTAAGAAGTTATTATTATACACAGTTATCTCTAGATACCTTTTCATCTTGGTAATATAGACAATATTTTTTCAGTCATACCTTCATATGCTGTTATTTTCCATGTGTAGAGAACTGGGAGGGTAAATATCATCCAAATAGACAACATCCAGCCCATGTTTTAAAAAAAATATTATTACCGGTACAAACATATAATTAACAGCGGCATTGGAAATGCCCGGTCCCCATTAGGATTATACCAATTGACTGTTTGGATGTACTGTACTCAAAGCCTAAATCCTATGTGGTTCTAGCTCCACACCCTCCACCCATCCCCCAGCCCTGGTTGTATCACCGATCCCTAATGGCTCACAGAAAAATAGCAGCTGGCAAGTGGTGGATTTATTTTTGTAGTTCTATTATTCACTGTACTGAATTAATTAATTCAAGCGTTCACAACATTTCCTTTGTGAAATGCAGAATATATTACACTCACAACACATGTGGAGCAATATGCTTTGTTTTTTTTTCTAATGGGACCAGGCCCAGTAAAAGAATTGTGAAGTACGTTTTTTCAGTACTTTTTTTTAAAGACAATTGTAATGTAGGAAATGTGAGCTATGTAAACATGTTTCTATCGCCATGGGAGATATGGATGAGAAGGGAGATGCGGAGTCCCCAAAGATGTGGTTTCCACGCAGGTAACCATGGCAGTACTTGTTATACTGCAAATACTATGACACCGGTGTCAGCAATTAATGTCTTGCGAGAAGGAATAAAATAACACTTTCTCATACATTACATTGATTCTAATTTGATAAAAGATTCTGTCATAACAATAAACATTTGGATTTCCTCACACAAATTACTCTTTAATGTTTCAGTGGATAGTTTTCATTCTGAATGTAATGATGAACATCATTATTTGCATTTATAGTAACACGGTGAAAAAAAAATGTGCCAGATTAGGTTTGCCGCTATCATCCGGTTGGTTATGACACACTACATTTAGAAGCAGGGGAGTGTGTGGGAGGCGAAATGATTCAAGAAGGGGTAAAATTAGGCTGCTTTATGAGGCATCTTATAAATCACAAGTGCCCTGAATAGTTTTCTTTTATCCATCTGATGTGAAGAACATAAAATCAACACTTCGCAGTGGTGCAATCTGTGCCACGCCTAATTGCGTCACACAATGGTTGCCAAGTCATGTTGCTTACTGTTTATTACAGGAAAAGGTCTGTGGGCAAGATAAACAGGGCACCTGGTCCCCATTGAATGCTATGACACAAGCCAACTGAAACTGCTGGCGTGACTTCCATTAACTCAAGTTACTAAATACCTTAAGTTGAATTGATGTTGAGTGAAGGCAAATGCAATACTGTATGCCCCTCCATTTGCCGTCACCTTACCGTGGTGGAGGGGTTTGCGTGTCCCAATGATTCTAGGAGCTAAATTGTCTGGGCCTTTAGGCATCCTGGCAGGGGCACCAATGCCAAACAGGTCCTAAGTGAGGGACCAAAGCACGGCTTAGAGACCCCTAATGATGATTGAGAAATTTGGAACACGTTTTCCCTTGCCCAGATGCAGGTCACCAGGGCCCCTCTTTGGAACCAGGCCCGGAGGCGGGGCTCACTGGCTAGCGCCTGGTGGCCGGGCTTGCACCTGTGGTGCCCGGAAAGGCAACGTGGGTCCCCCGTCCCATGGGCTCACCACCTGTAAGAGGGGCGGGTGCCCTGTGAGCTGGGTGGCGGCAAAAGTTGGCGTACCTTGGCGGTCCGATTCCGGAATACAGAAACCAACTCCAGGGACATGGAATATCACCTCTGTGAAAAGGAAAGAACCTGAGCTGGCGTGCGAGGCCGAGAAGTTCCAAATAGATATGGTCGGGCTCGCCTGCGGATACGGCTGTTACCACCAATGTCAGAGTTTGGGCCGCATTGCTGGCAGTAAGTCGGGTTTGTTTCCAGTGAAAGTCGGACTCCGCCAAGGCAGGATGCCCTTTGTCACCGATTCTGTTCATAACCTTTGTAGAGAGTAAGTACATCTAGGTGTAGCCGAGGCATTGAGGGAGTCCGCTTTGGTGGCCTCAGTATTGCATCTCTGCTTTTTGCAGATGATGTGGTAATGATGGCTTCTTCAAGCCGTGATCTCCAACTCTCACTTGAGCAGTTCGCAGCTTAGTGTGAAGCGGTTAGGATGAAAATCAGCACTTCCAAATCAGAGACGATAGTCTCATAAAGAGAATCGCGAAGACAGTTTCAAAAAGTCGAGAAAAAAAGTCTATATGATATTTAATATACAGTATCTCCTTCAAATGAAGGCACAATATGCTTGCATGGTCTGAGTAATCACATGAGAGCAAAACTGACATGACATAATTAACATTTTTGCAAACAAGTATGGGACACAAACAAATACATCTCTCCTCGCAACAGTGCTTATAAAAAAATAGCGCGTGTGCTCCGTTTAACTGAAAAATAGTGTGATACCCCTTTAAATTTGTTCTAACGTCAGTCCTCTTTTGGTCCCGCCTTAGAAATCTTCTAACCAATCCAAGCGCGATGCACGTGACGAGCTTTCATTGCAATGACCTCATCCCTGGTGTGGGATGACGTCAAATTCAAGATGGATGGAATCACGACCAGTACGCAGAAATCGACACAACACTGAATAAAGTCCAGGTTGTTTGGATGAAAAAACTTAATCACGAGGGCCGGGTAAGCGAAAAATTCTATTTTAAGTTGGCTAAATACGGAATTGAACATGACTGCTGGAGTAGCATTTACTGGGAGCTTTTTTTTTCCCTTCCCCCCCTGACGTAACTCAAAGGGGCAGTTATGCTGTTGTTAAACCCGAGCAGCTACAACCTGTTTAGCTTAGAGCTGCGTCTCGTCTTAGCGTTCTTTTTTATTAAAAAAAATAATAGTCAGTATTAAACGGCACTGCTCTCATTGGAGGCGTAGCGGATTTATTAATATTGTGCTGCTACCGAGAGTGCATTAAACTGAGTCCATAACGCGCCCAACTTTTCCTCCCCGACTCGACACCACATTTTCGCTAAACGACCGAGCAGGAATGGCTGAGCGCGGCGCCATTCACATTCCGCCTCATAAATCACTAACATGCTGCCACTCTTTTCATGCCAAAGTGCTCTTTTTTTTCGTGGAAGAAGTAAAGTGTCATGCGGGAGTGCGCCACGTCTCACGGGTGATCTAATACCATCAGCGGTACTGGACTTCCTCGTCGAAAAAGGGGAAAAAAACCCGACACGAGTGATTCGTTATTTGGGGTGAGGTTAGCTGTTTAGTTAGTAGTTTTACACGGATGAATGAAGACAGACTGGATCTTAAAATCACGTGTCCAAGTTGGGAACAGCAATAATTAACCTAATTAACTGTCATGCTTACGGTATTTGTATACCTCTGTGTGAGATAAGAAGGAGGTTATTAGAGCGGAGTGCTTGAAATTTTTCTTTTACTTCTGTGGTAAGATACTGCATGTAGAACACGATGTCTGGTAATTGTTCGAACCTAATATGAAATTAAAAAATACTGTACACAAACATGAATATGAAAACATTTTGCAAAGAGGTGCCATTTTACTGAGAATAAGAGGAGGCTGTCTGTCTGTGTTACCGTCATCAACTTGCATCGGAAATTCGAATAATAAATTAATATATTCTGTGCAACTCCGTTTAATGTGGTTGATCACTTTTGCTTCACAGTTCTGTGGTTCTGGGTTTGAATTTTGGTTCAGACCTTCTTTTGAGACATTGCGTGTTCTCCGCATGCTTGCGTGGGTTTTCAACTGGGATTTCTCCTCCCACGTTCAAAAATGTGTCTGATAGGTTCATTTAAAACGAAGGTGTTGATAGGGGTGAGTGTTAATGGTCTTTTGTCTCTATGTGCCCTGCGATTGATTGGTGACACTCCAGGGTGGTACCCAAAATCAGCTGGGATAGGCTCTGTCACACCGTGACCCTCGTGAGGACAAGCACGCGAATATTCTATTTACAGGATACAATTATTAAAACATATAAATGTACAGAACATTGACAGAAATCATTGCATTATGTCTCAAACATCTGAGAATCACTACCATGGAAATGTTATTTTTTTTAGGTTCATATTTTATTTGCTAATGTTTGTGTATTTGCGTTATTTTAATAGTCTAAAGACTGTTATTTGTTGTTTTTTTTTAAACTGATCAGTTAGGCGCATCTTCGCACATCTTAGTAAAATTGACTTGAGTAATGAAAATTAATTCATGCTGAAATTTAGTGGTTCACACGGTGCCAATAGCTCACTTTATGCGGCCTGTTCATGCTGGGATTCAGCTGCTTGTTCCCCGATCACTGTTAAACCTCGCGGACACCGAATGTTTGTTATTGCTCTGGTGTGTCTATTTTGCCTTAACAGGCATCGCCTAACACTATTAAAAGTGCTAATATAATATAGCGAGTACTATATCTGAAGGCGAAAAAAAATCTTGGACCATCAAGTATAATAATTATATAACAATCACATTTGAATGTTCAGTCCCTCACCTAACCTTTTCTTGTCCTCTTCTTGTTTCACCTTTTAGCAATGGAGAGCCTAGTGCACTACAGTTATCCTGCCCATGCCCTCTCGGTGCTGGGGCTCCTCAATGATCAGCGGCTGCAGGGCCACATGTGTGATGTGGTGCTAGTTGTGGCAGATCAACGATACCAAGCCCATAAAAGTGTTTTGGCTGCCAGTAGTGAATATTTCCAGTCCCTCTTTACCAGGATAGACACGTCATCGAAGGTTGTAAACCTGGACTTCTGTGAGCCTGATGCTTTTGAGATTGTGCTGAATTACATTTACTCCTCTTCGCTCTTTGTGGACAAAGACAGTCTTTCAGCCATCCAAGAGCTGGGCTACACCTTGGGAATCCCCTTTCTCACCAATATAGTTTCCACAAGGCCACATGCTTCATATTGTGTGTCTAGAAAAAGACTGTCCTATACAGAAGGGGACGATAATGATGTCCAGACAAGGAGTGTCATTGTGTGCCGTGTCCGGAACGACACATCCCAACCCTCTTCTCCAAACTGTCCACCAAAACCATCAGAAAGACCGTCATCTCTTGTCACAACCGAATTGGCTCAACCTCCATCAGAACTTAACTCCTGTGACTCAGTCAGAAACTCTGAAGCAAACACGAGTAAATCACCTGAACAGACTGAATCTTCTGGAAGGAGGTCCAGCCATCATCCATATGCATCCATTTTAAAAGGGAATCCACCATACATCTCTTCTATTAGGCCCCAGCTGAAAACATCTGCATCATTCAACGATGCAGAAGTACAGCATAGCAGGATGCCGTCTTGCTCAGACCAGCACATGAAACAGGATTCAGGGGAGCAGGAGCCTCGCTACAGCACCAAAGTGTCCTTTCAGGGTCAGGCCTCTGAGCTGAGCCAGACTATTGACCGGAGTGGGCCGCTCATAAAAAGCTTACTTCGAAGATCGTTATCCATGGACAGCCCTATTCCGGTCTTCTCACCTACACTGGAGCTCAAGGAGCTGCAAAATCACGAACAGTCTGTCGTGAAATTGGCATCAAAGGCATCAGATCCCGAAATATCAGCTCACAATGGTAATTTAAGAACCTCCCCCATTATTCTCAAGTCAAAACACCACACCAGATGTGATGAACAAACTCAGGTAGAAAGAGAGCACAGTGTGAAAGTGGAGCCCAGCAGTCCACTCGCAGACCCTTTGGACATTATTCGAATCACAGTTGGGGAAGCTTTGCCAGTCAATCTTAAAGACTTGCAAACAAATTACGAACAGTGTTCCAAGGCTAGCTTAATTCCTTTCGGGAAACGGAGGGAAAGGCCAGACAACAGACGGTATCCATTCAAGAAGAACAAAATATTGAAGGAACACAGCGTCTCCTCAGAAGAGAACAGGTCAGAAATGGTGTCTCGCAGCACCAGCGACGATAATGAGAACAATGACAAGTTGCCTCCGAACAAGATTTTTACATGCTGGAACTGCTTCAAGGTTTTCAGGTCCAGCGCCGGACTACACCGACACATAAATATGTACCACAACCCGGAAAAGCCGTACGCCTGCGACATCTGCCACAAGCGCTTTCATACTAACTTCAAAGTGTGGACACACTGTCAAACTCAGCATGGTGTCCTGCAGAATCCAGCCTCATCTTCCAGCTCGCCGGTGATGGACGATAGATTCCAAAAGAAGCTGATCGACATGGTGCGAGAGCGAGAAATCAAGAAAGCTTTGCTCTGGAAGCTGAAGAGGAATAAACAAGCTTTGCAGTCTTCCACCCTCTGCAAAAAGCGAGCAAGGTCCAACTTTGTGTGTCCCTATTGCGGGAAAGTGTTTGTGTTTCAGTCTCAGTACAGGCAGCATTTACGGACACATCCTGCAGAAAAAGCCGACAAGGACGATGCAGGGGAGAACACCCTCTTCCAGGAACAGGATGCGGTGATTCACCAGAAGGATTCCGATGCTGCCGTTTACGCCTGTAGACTCTGCAATATGAAGTTGCCTTCACTCATCGAGCAAGGTGATCACGAGAGGGGCTGTCGGCATTCCACCGTGTGCCCGTACTGCGGCCTCCGATTCTCCAGTCCAACAGTCAAGAAAGACCACGAGGTGCACTGCAAGTACAAGAAACTGACGTGCCTGGAATGCATGAGAACCTTCAAGTCCTCCTTCAGCATCTGGCGCCACCAGGTGGAGGTGCACAACAACAACGTGATTAATATTAAGGAGCAGATGAATTTGAGGCTGGAAGAGCACAACGAAGGAATGTCTGAAATGTTCATAGAGGAGCGGTACACCGGTGAATCTCTTGCACGAGAGAGAAATATTTACAATGATTCCTCGGGCACGCCTATGTATGATTCCGAAGACTCTTCATCCTATGTGCCCGAGGACCTAAGCATGGGCCATCATGGGAGACTCGTGGTCAAAGAAGAGCCACTGGAAGAGTCTGTGAGCGAGCGGGAGGAAACGGAGAGCAGCCAAACCGGACTGGAAGAACCCGGCGTGTGGCCTTGTGAGAAATGTGGAAGTCTTTTCTACTCTCGCAAAGACCTGGAGCGTCACCAGGAGCTCCTGTGCCACATCAAGCCCTTCATCTGTCACATCTGCAACAAAGCCTTCAGGACCAACTTCCGCCTTTGGAGCCACTTTCAGTCACACATGTCGAGCACAAGTGAACACGGAGCCAAAGAGACGGACGGGCACCCCCCACCCCTTTCCCCCTCCCCACCCATGACCTCTCAAAACTCTGAACGGCCCTCTCCGCAGGCCTCCTCGCTCAACCAAGCAACGCCAGTCGAGGCTGCCGCGGCCGACGGGTCCAGCAGCCCCGAGGCTTCCGTGTCATTGGTAAACAACAGTAAAATCCAAGCTCAGCCTGAGCAACAGCCGAGCACCCACAGCCCCGTGTCGAGGTCCAACAGCGTGGAGAATTCAGGCGGGGCTCAGGATGCAGAAACCCTCTTCTACCACGCACCATCTCTCTCTGCCCTGACCTTCAAGAGGCAGTACATGTGCAAACTCTGTCACAGGACCTTCAAGACGGCTTTCAGTCTATGGAGCCATGAGCAAAGTCACGGCCACGTGTAAGCATCCGGCAGGTTCTCGCAGCGCATTTCATACTCGATAATCAAAACCGCAACCAAGCCCGCAAAAGGCAGACTTTGAATGTTACAGCTTACCCCGCTTGCCTCCAGTGTACAATTTTAAGGACGCCGCGTTGAATCGGGTGTAAACAGACAAGAGTACTCGGGCCACACTAAAAAACGAAAGAAAAATAGTCCAGTAAAGATTTTATTTTCCCCAAGATTTTTTTTTCTTTTGTAAATAAATGAAGTGAATGTCAAAATTCCCAAACAAACACGCAAAAGTCTGAGAGAAGCAACTGCTGTGCCTTTCTCTCGAAGGACCTGCCATATCCTCCTCTTGTTATATGCTAAAAACATTCCTGGTAAGATGATCAAACAAAATAGGCGATTTCAGGCTAGTTTTTTTCCCCCTTCGGAAAGGGGATAAATTATTAAACTGCTCAGACTGCTGAGGTGTTGACACGCTCAAACATTGACTATTTAACCCTTTCATGCACCAATAATGATAACTTGTAACCTGATAACATGATAAGCTGTCCCATGTCATAACCGCGGTCCCTGAAAGAAGAGTTTATCTTCCCAAGATCCTCAAGAGTTCTCAGTCTTTGTACAATTCTTGTATTATGACCTCATTCTCATACAGTTGCGATTTTTTTTTCTTTTACCATCACATTCATTTTAAATTCTTGCTTTTTTTTTTTTGTTCATATTTTTTTCTTTTCAGTGTGACCCTAATACTCTGTATAAACATGAATGTGCAAACGAGTGCTAGATACTTTTTGGTTTCGGAAATGAATTCTTTTCATTCCAAAATGGTCTGCTTCAATTTATCGTAGTTGCCTAATTATATTTACATGTACGTGTGGGTGTTTTAAGAGAGGAAGAAATCGAGGTGTGACTTGAGCTGTACCACACGTGACTTCAACGAACAAGGAGAAGGGTATGATTACATGCACCGTTTTCCGAGTAAATGCTTTTATCTGCTGCAGTTGGATTATGAATTAGTGCTTTTGCTGTTGCATCGGAATTGTTTCTTGGTGTGATGAACCTTAAAGATTTTTCAAGTCTCATGCACTTTTTTTTTTTAATTTTGCCTTATCATAGTGACCATTGTACAGTTGTGTCTTTAGGACTGATGCATGCGCCTAATTGCGATTCACTTTCTTCACACGCGAATTGGTTGTGTTAATTTTCTCATGTACAAACCGCAGTACTTTGACGTAAAAAGCATATATCACAACATAGTACAGTATGCATACGATCAAAACATCTCAGGTTGTTCAGACATTTCAGAACACTGATAAAGGATGAAGCCAGGTTACAGTCACTGCTAATTTATCTTCTGAAGTATTAATGGGGTGATTAAGATACATTTTGTACCATTTCAGTGGGTGTGATTTTGTATGTTGTACACATAAGGGTTCATTTTCCTCATGGCGAGTGGCATAGACAGAAGGAAAAAGTGAAGTGATGTGTTTGTGTTCCTGTACTTTGCAGAGTATTTGAATCGGAAGCTAACGCATTTGTACATTACAATTAAACTTTTTGGGTTTTTTGCCGCTTAACGGGTCATCTTGGTCAGTAATTCACAAGGCCCTAAAGTTATAGGTTCACTCGGTCCAGGTAGCCTTGAGGAATGTAGTGAACATCCCTTTCACTGTGTCATCGGTGGTGGATAAGCGTTGTTTGTCGTCATCATTGGATAAATGAGGCAAAACTAACTTTAAAGTGCTTTAAGAACAACGCTTGATAAACTCAACCCATTAACTGTTTCAAATAATTCCCTACTTAATACGATCCTAAAAATGAGTACTAAATGAATCAACTTCAGACGCGCAGGCTCAGTTTCTTTATACAATCGAAATGACTGAAGTTCATTTTTCAGCAAAGTGTCATATCTCATCAGTGGATGTGCACTAAAGTTGCATACCTTAGCGATATTAGAGCATCTCACACTGTTCCGGACCTTGGCTTTTCTCGTCATCTACTACACTTGAATTAATAGCAAGAAATATCCATCCATTTTTAACACCGCTTCATCCTGAACCGGGTTGCAGGGAGTTGCTGGAGCCTTACCCCAGCTGACTTCGCGCAGAAGGTAGACTACCCTCTTGAACTGGTCGCCAGTCAGTCGCGGGGCACATATAGAGACAGACAACCATTCACACACGCAATCACAACGTCACTGAGTGGGAACCGATACCACGCTGCCTGCACACCAGTCAGGCGAGTGTACTGGGACTAGCAAGAAATGCTATTTGAAAAGAAGTGAACATTCCCGTTTGACACCAGTATTAGAGAATTGTACAATCCAACATGTAGACAGTGGCCTTCATATTCGAATATGATTGGTTTATGCAACCAACAACATATTCAACAACATTCAGTGGCGTGATGACTTCACTCAGGTGGTAAAGCTGCGGTACGTGGAGGTAGAATTGTTTATTCTCATGGGGTATGTGTTCCTGCTTCGTGAAGAGTCAACGTTTGATTGTGGCCTAGGTGTTTCAGTGTGTATTATTGTACCCGTACATACTTGTACCTTTGCTTTGGCTTTCTCCTAAAAATGGAGAAATATGTAGAAATTAGTCGTGATACATTTGGGGAGCTGCTGAATTCAAAAAGCGTCTCCGTGGCAACACAGGCTTTGTTGTGGTAGATTCTTTTGACATTGCATTGATAATAGGTCAATATCACTATTGAGTGCTTTTGGTGTCCTCATCAGAATGACTATCATCATGAAGCAGTAGCAGAATAAATGAAACCGTGAGGTCTTAGTATAAGTGGTCAAACATTTGCCCACGTACCAATACAAGGATGTCACTTAAAATACATTTTCTTCATTTTATTGGAATTTTTTTTTTCCATGGAATATACACTTTTGGACACCCGCAGTGGCTCCTCTTGTTTTATGTTGAGAGGGAAGAAATTTCATCTGTGCTGTATCTTACACATACAGCATATTTGACAATAAAGTTGTATCCAATCCAATTTTTTTGGCATGTCCCAAATACTGCTCTGCTGACTACAATGTGTGTGATAAGTGGTTAAATGATTACAAAATGTTTTACATGGTTTTATTGTCAACAAGTTACTTTATGAAAAGACATTTTGATCATGCGAATATCCTATTTTCATGATCCCATTGAATATGAAATTGCGATCAATGTGGGGTAACTGCCCCTATAAAAGGCTTTACAGCAACTACTACCTGTATTTTTTTATTATCATCATTGAAGGCTGAAACTGTATGTATGACGCCTAATTTATGTCATAACGTGTCGTTGGATCTCAATCCGCTGTGTCAGTGAAATCTCAACTTCCTTCAGAAATTCGAACCACATTTGTGAAACAGTCCAGTCAGCTTGTTAACCAAATGATGTTGCTGAGTGTGAAGGTTCACCACGTGCTCATAAAATACCAACATTAGCCAAAAATAAAATATCCACCCTGTCAGCAAGTTCACATCTTGCCGTTTGCCATCACGTTGTCTGCTTGCAGTTAATTAAAAAAAAAAAAAGTGATAGTTTGACAAGTATTCATTTCTAACAGCGTAACATTTTCATGTAGCGAATGTGAAGTTCAATGGAAAATCTCACATTTTGGGGGGTGAAATGTGAAGTCTCAAAAGCACCTTATGGTGATATTGACACAATAGTGCTCTTAAATTCTTTGTGAGAAACACTTTCTGTACTGTTCTCTGGAATTATTAGGATTGTGTATATGGATGTGTTTCTGAAGTTTTGTACCAGTTTTGTCAGTTAAGAAACTTTTTAGTACACCCGTGCTCTACTTGCAATAATATTTGTATCAGCATTGGTTGTTGTCGTTGCTTTTTATGCAGCTGTTTTTGTGTTTTGTTTTTTTTCTACAGTGTGCTTTATCTCTGTAATAAAGAGTTACATTATATATGACAGTGTAAACACTTATTTTAAAAAAGTATTTCAAAATGTATTTTGATGCCTTGCAGATCATTTAAATTGTTTAAATAGGCCTAGAGCTTCAACTGACATTTTTTCATTTTTCAGTGGAGTGTAAATGTTACCTTTAGACGGTTATTTCAACAGACCACAACCAGTAGCTATCAGCTGCCCATTTTTAAATGTAACTTAAACCTGTAATTTCAATATACTTCCACCACATTGTGTAGATTTTTCACTATTCAAGCAGTGGAATAAAAAAAATGTCCTGCTGTTAACTCTCAGCTTGTGGATAACCTTTTGGCTTGGAAACTAAAAGGGGACGCTAATTAATTTGCATATATAACACTACACTGGACATGCTACATAATTCAATGTTCTATGAATGCCTATGCAGTAGAACGATTTGCATGAACTAGTGCACCTCTTTGCTCGTTACCCAAGCCTTCAAAAAAAAAAAGCGCCTATTGAACTAACAAACTACTAACACAAAGAAAGAAAAGCTGTAAATATGTCATAGGGTACCAAACAAAGACAATCATACATGGCAATGGCGAGTGATGAAAAAAGCGGAAGGGGCGTGGCCTGGCCGGGGCGTGGCCTAGCCGGGGGCGTGGTTACTTACAAAAGTGGCACTAAACATGCTGAAGATGAAGTGTATTCAATTTACACACCATTTGAAACTTTAACAGAAAAAAAATCCCAAGATTGTTCACTATTCTTTCAAGTGAAATACAATATATTACATATAACAATTATGTATTTAAACAATTTAGAGGCAACAATATCAGCAACAGAACATTGACATATCCGCTCCTGTTCATGTTTCATTTCTGGAAGTTGGCAAGTGAGGATAAGGAATTACCTGAATAACTGTACCATTCCTTTACAATCAAAAACAAAACTGATTAAGAGCAGACAAAAGACTGTAATCTATGGTTTGCACCATCATGTGTGAATCTTAACAGCGCTGTATTCTCAATGACAACAAAAATGACCACACCAAGAAAGAGAATAAATATCCAATGACAGGATGAAGGGATGGGTAACTACAAGATTGTACAGAGCAGTTTTGAATGGGGCAACATTTGTTTGCTTCAGCGAGCCTACTTGTTATGATAGACCCACAATGAATGTTCACTCTCTTTTTGGTAATTGCCTTGCCGTTTCCCAAGAGTTCCAATCAGAGCTACTCCTGAAGGATTTGTGTGCAGTAAGAGACACGTTAACTTAAAGTGCCAGGGTGTCTTTTATCAGCCTTCTCATGGTGGTGCTCACAGAAGTGCCCAGAGAGTCAGTGATCTGATATGTTATCTTATGAAGATAAGGCTGGACTTCTCTCAAACTGGTGTCAAAGACATTGTCTACTTCGGACTGGGTGGGCATCTTTGGCACATACTCGTGGCGATTGATGACCTCGACAACGTTGATCACTTTCTCGCAGAGTTTTTCTCCCACTTTCTCTCTGCAGATCTGCCTCTCCTGCTCGTTCGCCAGGTTGACGACGTTGACTCTGATGCTCCACACCTCCCAGGGAATACACTCGTCAGAGAAAGGCCAGCGGGACTTCTTCTTCTGGTAGAATTCCAGGGAAATTTGACCGATGCCATCATTTCCAGATATGCTCAAAGCGTCCTGCAAACAAACATGTCCACGTGGGTCAGGTGACAGGCCCTCAGTTGCGTCATTTAAAACCCAGAGAGGAATAGTACCTTGAATTCGGACACAGCTTTTTTGATCACCCTGTCAAGCTCATCCGAGGAAATTCTGACAAAAGTGAAGTCGATGAAGTCGCAGTCGATGTCCACCGTCCCAACTGTTCCGATAGAGTAAGTACCTTCCTTTTTATAGTGAAATTTTCCAGTGCTGCGGTGCAGTAAAATTGTGTGCAGCAAAGACAGGATTGACTCTTCAACCTGCCTCGCCTCCACTGTGACTTCAAGAAGCTCTGATCGACAATTCATTGCCAAACCGTTTTTATAAGCTACTCACAAGCGATAACTGATGGTAGTGATGGCGTCTGTTTACGATCGACATTTAGCGCTAACTCAATGCTAGACTTTTGTATTGCCGTTACGGATAAGCGGAACAAAAAAATTAATGAACTATTTTAAAATAATACGTCCTGGGATTATCTCCAGACAATCCAAATTGTGAGATTTCTGCCCGCAACTCTTGTGGCAACAAGCCACCAACCCGAGCTAAACGTTTGTTCTAAAAGGGACCGGAAGTCGCAGTTTTTACGTCAGTGGTACAGTCTACGGCAAGCACTTAGTTCAAAACAATCCATGAAAATAAAATACAGTGATTGTACTACAAACAAGTCGACAGTCACTAATAATATGACATAGATTTACAAACTGTATCAAAAATAAAAAATAAAACAACGGCACACATGTATTGATGTACAATGAAGAAAATTTGAAGCACATACATTTTTGCATACATCTCGCGGTGCATTGTGGGAGTTACAGTTTGTGCCACATATCCTTTTCGGAACGGTAACTTCTCGTACAATCACATTGCACGTACAAACCTCCTCAACCGACGAGAGGCTCTCACTGTCTCGCTTCACCTCTTCCACCATGTTTCATTGGAACCTTGTTTTTCAAACGGACAGCGTCTTCAGGCGCCTCACCGAGGACTTTGGATATAATTCCTTTTAGGGGAAAGTTTGTCAGCCCTCGCTGCTAATAAGCTGGTTAGGCGAGCCGTAGCCGGGATTAGCCAACTGAGCTAACAAACGAATTCGGAAGTGTATTAGTATGAAGACTCGCCTGACACTACAAATTACCTTTAGCTATGAGAAGGCGAGGTTGTAATAGCTGTGGCCTTTTCCAATAGGGACTTGGATTGACTTATCCTCAAGGAGCAACATGGACAAGAAGAATTTATTGTGGGGATTGAGTGCAACACAGTTATTCTCAGTGAAGAGTAATTGCTTTAAGTGATTTTCGAATTTTATAAACAAAACTAATGATGCAAGGAACACTTCCTCTGGAGGTGTTTTAAGCTTAGCCTTCGTTTTCATCATCAAAGAATGTCCGACCTGGAAAGTTCTAGTTCATATTTTGGTCTGGATGATCCGCAGTGGCTCTGTATGGTCACACTTTTCATTGCGTCCTTAGTTACCCTAGTACTGTATTTTGTACAGTATTTCCAACAAAGGGCAACAGGGTTGGAGAAGACCCTAGCAGAGGACAATGCGGCTAAGGAGGAAGCCGCCTCTCTGCTAGGATGGGCGCTGTCACTGAATAGTTGGAAACGTCAATGGAGAGGAGCATGGTGCAAGGCTTTGAATGCCAAATCAGGGGAGACTCGTGGGGTAAGTATTTACTGCTTCGTCACCTCACTACCACATTCAATAAAATAACCTTTGTCAAATTTTAGTCAAGGTCTGTCACTGGTAATTTATGGCAGAAACTGGTGACAGTGTTTACACCCAATAAAAAAAAAAAACAACAACACATGGTTATTAATCAAACTGAACATTATGTATGACCTTGATAACAGCATCAGATGGTATTAGATGTGCAGATGGCTGAAATGTTGTGGCAGGTCTGTGCATCCAGTGACAGTGCATTTGTAATCAAAGACCGCTCCGGTACATGGTCAGTTATTGGTGTCGTTTCACTCGCTGTATGTTGCTAATTCGAATGTTTTGGACTTTTTCTTGATCAGAGTCCACTTATTCTGACCTTCAATGAAGATGATGTCGAAGCATCCGAGCTCATGATCAGCCAAGTGTCCCGCTTTCAGAAATCAGCCAAAAACAAGGTAGCACTTGACATAATTATGCAGTGGACCACAGTATACCTGCAGTTTGACATTTGCAAATTTTCACACATTTTTCTGGAACATACCTACTGTTATTCACTGAAAAACTCACCCCTTGAATCATTTTCTGCAGCATAGCAAAAAAAAGTCTATAATTATTGGCAAATACTGTCATGAATCTCTATTGATCTACTTTATGTACTTTGGAAGAACAGTAGTTCCTGGAGGTCTCTCCGAAAACACATGTGTTGTACATCATCTTGGAGTGTGTGGTGCAATACGGATGCATTTTTATTATAAACTATATATAGGCACTTATAATCGCTATTAAGAGCGCGTCAAGCAGGTTAGAGCTATTCTCGTGCTCAATCCCAATTCCCCTCAAATAGTGAGTCTCCATTTTATTGGCTTCCAGCTGTCTAAATGCAGCACATTCTAATGGTTATGTTGTTTCTACTGTATATCCATGAGAATCTCCGTTCTTTTTTGTCCCTTATGTTTTCTTGGTGTCATCTACTCTCTGTACGTACTCAATTTTACGCAGTGCCCGCTAGTGTTCAGACTTTGACACCACATAACCGAAATGCCCTGTGTCACAGGCTATAGTCCATTTCAGTGTGATGTGTGGTGAGACTGTTAGAAAAACACGCAGTTGCATGTACAAATGACAGTAATAAGGTTATACTCGAAAAAGTATCAATGCTTGAGTGAAACATATGCCACGTTCAAGAAAAGTGTGTTATTTGTTTTTGAACCATCTTTGAGTAAAATAAGACCCCAATTTTTTTCACAATTGCAAGAAATAATGAAAAAAAATGGCATTGGTGCACCCCGACGGCTGGGTGCATGCCACCTCGTACCCAAAGGCAACTGGAATTGACGGATCTACATTCTCGTTGTGAACTAATACGCCACCATGTGACCGCAGTCTGTTCTAGACGGCTGTCCAACACATTTAGAAATGTGTCTCACAGGAAATTGAAGCAATCTATTCCCAGGCTAAACTGTCTTCATCTTGCAAATAGGCCATTTGAACAGCGTTTTTGTGACACTTTAGAACAGGCATGTCCAGCTCCGGGCCTGGAGAGCCACCGTCCTGCCTGTTTTTTCCAGCTGTGGTCCATTCATCCATTAACCAAGAGTGGCAAAAACAGTGGCGATTTTTGTTTTAATGTGAATTGATTCAACCCACATTTTGTGGGACAAACCCTAAAAAGAGGCAACCATACTAAATAATATTACCCAAGTAGATTGGGTCCTCGTTTGCTGCATCAAGTGAATTTAACAAGCTGCTACTCCAAAGAGGATTGGACAAAAATCTTTTTCTTTTTGTAGTTTGCCATTGTAGGCACAAACACACCCACTGCTCTGTTGTTATTTTGGGGAATGTAATGAACAGAGGCATAGTTACACTTATCCACGGTGTCTTTATTTAAGAAGCTTATGCTGGCCAAACGCCACAGGCGACGATAAATGCACAGGTGTGTGTGTGTGTGTGCGTGTGTGTGTGTGTGTGTGTGTGTGTGTGTGTGTGTGTGTGTGTGTGTGTGTGTGTGTGTGTGTGTACTTGTTTGAATATTTTTTTACACATTGTCCCTCTCATTTATAAATAAATCCATTCATCCATTTTCAACACCGCTGATCCTGAACAAGATCGCGAGGGGTTGCTGGAGCGTACACCCTGAACTGGTCGCCAGTCAGTTGCAGGGCACATACCGAGACAAACAACCATTCACACCCACATCCACACCGTCACCGAGTGGGAACCGATCCCACGCTGCTGGCAAACAAGTCAGGCGAGTGTACCACGACACCATCAGCGACTAAATAAATTACATACGTTGTGAAAATAAACATAACCTCTTTGTTGGGTAGAATAAATGAATTCCTGAATAGAGAAAATTGAAAATACATCATCTTGGAGTGCAGTATTTACATTTTCATCATGGTAAATGACTTTATAGCTTTCGGCAAAATCACGTGTTTATTGATATACTTTCATGATCCCTCACACAAGGCTCTACATTGTGGTGTATTTCACAGAAATTACTTGTGACCAAGCATGACGTGTCAAGTTCCTCCTTGTCATGGCTCCTCATTTTACGACCAAATAAGAGTTTCACTTCCAGTGTTTGACGTTGCTTTTGAATGAAATGAAATTACTCACTGTAGTTGCACAGAACACGAACATTTCATAGATGTTGCAAATGTACTGCATATCATTGGCTTGCTGTCTTCCTCCAACAGGCTGCTTGCTGTTACGTGGTCGGTGAAAAGCTTCAGTTCTCTATTGGTGTGTCCACATCGTTGTCAGCAGATCCTTGTAAATATACAGTGTGTATATCCCCACTGGAGCTGCAGGTAAATGTACTCAAGTTCATCTCTCTAGCCAAAAGAATAATCTGTCCCTTCTTACACAGTGTGAAGAGTGTTGTTTAATGGGAGATCTTATTAAAAGTGACATGTGGCCCAAAAGTGGATCACTGCTTCTCCGTAACATTAGATTACATGCTTGATGTATTTGTCTAAGCTTGGCAAACGTCCCAAATTCTTTACTGCAATCACTGTCAAGTTCATGTCCCAGTGTGGGACAAATAAAGGATATCTTAATCTTAATTGCCCTTAAAAGTGTCCCACTTCATCTAAATGGTTCATATGATCTTCTGAAATACGCACAATGGAGGAGTAAGTTTATGTTTTTAGGTGTTTATGAAAGCATCGGGTCCACGAATATTTAGACAGTGAATACATTTTCATAATTGTAGCTAATTTAAGATTGTTCATAGAAATTTACCGTTTAAGAATTACAGCCATTTATTCGGAGCACATCAAACGTCAAGGGCTCAAGTTATTTTTCATACATGTCTACCCAAAAATGTTCTTTACAATATTACGTTCGATGTACAGGTAGTCCCAGTAGTCTAAAACACAGTATTCTCATTCTAATTAATGTTATTTTTGTGGAAAATGAGTTAAGCAGTAAAATCCCCCTGTTTTTAAGCCATCTCAGGGGGCGGCCATTTTGCCACTTTCTGTCGACTGAAAATGACATCACAGTTGCTCGGGGCTCAGGTAACGACCAGTCAGGGCCCATCTTCAGAAAACAGGTGAGCCGTGATTGATTGTTACCTGAGCCACTGTGATGTCATTTTAAGTCGACAGCAAGTGGCAAAATGGCTACCCTTTGAGAAGGAGAAAAAAACAGTACATTTTGCTGCTTCACCCAAACACACACGCAATATTAATCTGAATGCCGTGTTTAGATTAATGGAGGCACATATTACTGTCAAGAACTTTTTGAGGTTGACTTCCCCTTTAATGTTTGGATTTTCTTGAAACCAAAGAAATTCAATACAGGTACTGTTATTCTTCAGTGGCAAAGCGAGATGCCTAATCCCAAACCACGAGCTCATGCTTTCCACGAACAAGCAGCAAGTGAAAGGCTGAAAGGCGAAGTGTTTCCAAGAAGGAA